AACTATAGACTGTAGTGGTATAGACTCTATGCTAGAGTACACATGACTATATACAGTAAGGTGTTGAGTTACTAATAAGGTTATAGGTAAAAATAGAACTGTAAATCATATATTAGGATATGGTTAATTCATTGCACCTTGGCTGGTTTGAATAATGTCTACTTAAATACTGTAGTCGTATTCATATCAGATTAATGATAGTCCGCAGTAGAATAGTGTTACTAAGAATAATTTAACTATGTGTAAAATAAGGTAAAAGGTTGTCATGCGGATTGTAGCTGGGAATGCTACGAAAAGTATAAAAGCATGCAACTTTAGATTATTCAGTTAGTTCGTTGTAGAAGTCTTTAGTAGTAGTATTCGGCTAGAGTAGAACTGTGTGTAGTAAATCTTTGCATAAAATTCAATAAAGCCTTTATTTTTCTAAAATTTGGAATTTCATGATCGATATATATCACAATAATAAATAATAATTAATTAAATTAAGGTATTACTAATATTAGATCTTGATATTGAATTCAATATAAAATGTTTATTATCTCAGCTACATTATACGATTATTTTTTTAAAATTTACTTATTTATTCTATAATAATTTATAATAAATTCATGATATCTACAACGTGATTTCTATGTTATACTTGTAAGTAAAAGAGGAGCACCTTGAATTTTTCATTATTTTTGTATCGATAATAATATACAGCATATTTATTACCATATAATGAAACAATGAATGAAAAGTTTATTCTATATATATATATGTGTATATGACTACCTTTACATTTTAGCTACTTTAAAGATCAGTCAATTCTAGATTTCAGGACTTCAGTACCCGAATTTCATTGTTCATCGCTCGCTATAGCATCTTTTATCAGGTACAGCTATATGTGCATACAAGAATCTGATATTTACTCAGCAAAAAGCATATTAAAAGTATTATACTTACGGCAAATATGTCTTCACCAATTAAATTGGTTCGTCAAATAAATGAGTTTATCATATGTTATTAATAAAATAAGCATTAGATAAATAGTTATGCTTGAAATATCTCTTGTTTGATGTTTTTCATGTGTGCCTTTAATCATAGACTGCATATTGATTTGAATATAAATGGTTTTTAAAGAAGTATTTATTAATTAAGTTACAACTCTATGATTAAAGTGGACGGTGCTAACTGATGCATTCTCATTGCAAGTGCAGTCTTGGTATATTTTTAGTCGTTTATGAAGAGTTAGCGAAACGTTACAATCAATAAAGCATGTTACTAAATAAATTAGAAATAGAAAAAGATAAAACGTTATTACATCTGCAAAATGGCCGCATATTTGATTAACATCAATACAAATAGATATTTAATAAAGAAAATTGTAATTCAGACTTTATTGTATGACTACACTTAAAATGCTGAAACATTTAAAAAGCTGACAGGAATGTATTCTCTGTGTATGTCATAAACAAACGTTGTAACAAGAATTGAGCTACTGATAATATAAATACCGAATTAAAATCACAGCCAAGACAAGACTGGTATGTTTTATCAATCTTTTGTTATATGAAAAGACTCTAGTTACAAAAGAAATATTGCCTACCAGAACAAGCTTTTGTATTTATTTCTTTTTCCAACTCAGAGTTTATAATACTAGTAAACAAATACAAACGTTTCTCTATTTTATCCAATATTTTCTAATTCTCTTGTCTAAAACAATGCTTCGTTGTCGTAGCATTGCGTACGTTTTTAAAACTACGCTATCCAAACATGATAATGATAGCTTCATTAACTTTTGCAACAATAAGTTACTTAATCAACTTCATATACGATTTCTAAGTAGAATATTCTACGTTAGGACGAATATACTTCAGTACATATCGATTAATAAATTATAGGATTTATGTTTGACGATATTGATAGTTCTATAAAAGTACAAGGCAATGGCATCTAGACCAGTTATCAGAATTTGGGTTTTAATTTAAAGTTTAGATTAAATAAGCTTGAAATATTAATACAATGCCTCACGTTATGAGAAAGAAAAGAATGACTCAATTGCATCTGTAGATTAGGTATTTTATTTCGGTTCTCTCTTTTGTATTAAAACATATTTTCTCACGTATTCTATGATTACGTCGACTTTTCATTACTAGTTCGAGCGTTATATGATTTAAGTATTGATATATCAAAAAATCTGAAACCTGTAAATAGATGATAACGTTACTGAATAATTTAAGAAGAGATTAATCAAAAAATCAGATTAGACGTCTCAATTCTCCCGATTTCATCTCTATATGCCGTTTACCTGTCTACAAATTAGATTCCTATTTTACTTTCTACCTCCTTTGTACTCTTTATTTATAACTAAATGAAAATATAAGACTAACTTTATTCTTCGATGAATTCGAAAACCGAAGGAATTTCTAAACTGTCTGCACGTTACTTACTTCCGAATTTTCCGGTTATTGATAAACTTGAATTGTTGTGTAGCTCTTGATAGAATTATCGAATAAATATCGATGAATTAATTAGCAGACAAAGGCCTGAATTTTATTATATTACTTGGTAGAAATAGTATGTAATGCAAGACTTCGACTATTATAAAAAATGACTTAGTTTTGCTTAAAATTGATAGGATAATCCTATCTATGCAACAACGACTAAATTGAATAAAAATTTTAGTTCACTAACTAATATAACGAATCAGTACTGCATTGTTTATCCAAAAATTATAATCTTTTTTTGAGTTTTTTAAACTAAGGCTAATGAAAAATGAACAGGGCATAGAAGATTAGCATAGTAACTTATTTTAAATTTTAAGTTTTATAATAATTTGGCTCCTAATTAAGTGATTTTTTTTGATTAAATTACCATATATTGAAATATCATGTTATTGGACAATTACAAATTAAAAATTAATTTTCTGTATACCATGTAATTTACGTAGTGGTGACCTTGTTCGAAAACTACTTAGGCCATTTTCTTTACTGGTGAGTACCATTACACGATAGTGGTAACATACTAATAAACATATGAGCTACTAAAAGCTTTGATGCACCAGTATTTACAATGTCGAATGACTGATATACCGTAAATTTATCGATACATGGAAAGCTTATTGCTGTAAAATATATTTATCATTTCATATGGTAAGAAAATCTGGTTCATATAGAGGAAACTATTAGCATCTAACCCTCTAAGCCGCGGGGTACTTATAAAGTATTGAATATAATGTTGCTATGGCTAAATCAGCCGTGACTATTACTGGAACAATTTGCACCTTAGGGTGACGTCAGCTAATTTATTACTAAAAGGAAGCATTTCATCGAATATTTTCCCTTCTGAATCAGGTTTATATTTAAACTGAAGTAACTAAGGATTTCTCATTTTTAGTTAGTATTCAAAAAACTTTGCATTTAATTATATTTATTAGCCATCAGATAATGTTTTGATTACAATTATCTTCATCTGGCTGTACATTATTGATCAAAACAATTAATAAACTAATTTGTTATAATATTTTTTAGCTGACTGATGGCTTGAAATTTAATTTAATTTGAAGTCTATTTAAATTAATCAATTGAATTAATTTTTATACAAATCAGTTTCATTTGATTTCTATTTTTCGATTCATGCTCGCAATTAATTTAGATTTTTATATGCAGTAGGCCAAATAGAGACTGAATTTTTTTGATTATCACTTAGGCATCTTAATATTTGGTAGAAATTTTAACGTCATCACTTTTTTGTATCATTCAATTTTAAGATCTACAAGCCTTCTTTATTTTACGTTCAGCGATGAGTAATTCTAGTTGTCCAAAATTTAAGAATGAATGCCCAATAATTTTATAACAACTGCAAAATACTGATAATTAATGAACTAAACTATCAAGTGCAAGTGATGAAGAATAAATATCTGTATTTAATTTAATTTGGTCGAAGAGAACATGCGGCCTATAAAAATTATTAGTTTTGATTTTATTGGAATGTGACGTTTCAAAGTCAAGCGGTATGACAAATTGAGTTGACAATGACAATTGGCAGCTTCATTGGTGTCTATTCAAAATTTTATCCGTAGAAATAGTGCAATTTCATCTTAAATTTAGTTTATGTTCAGTTAGAATTCAGGAAATGTCGATTAATTTAGTTACCGTTTACAAGCTATCTTACTGAAACTTGTTTATTTCCTTCATTTTTTATAAAGAATATTTAGTTGGATCTCATCTATTAAGAACTTGAATAAAAAAATTGGTAAGAGGATGCAAAATGATACTAATTAAAGCAATAAACTATTGACTAGAAATGATTTGATTTGTTAAATACTGCACCAAATTGTCATATGAATCTGTGCTAGCGTTTGCATCTGTTCGTTATCTCTTTGACCTCATTAACACCTGACATTAATTATTTCGATTATAATGGTCTGTGAATCGAATATACAAAATGTTAATCTTGCTTGATATAATTAGTATAATAATTTAAAAATAATAAGTATTGCGTAGAGGCAAAAAATAAAATACTTGTTTTAACTAAATTTAAAACTACAAATTTGAAATAAACAGAGGTATAACAACAACTTTATGACAATAAAACTGTATGAATAGATTTTCATTTTTGATGTGGTAATGATTAATTACTTTCAAAATAGAGCAATAAAATTAATTCGGGCCTTAGCTCCTTTCTTTGATCAATACCATAATTAACATATTCTTAGATAGCTAATGTACTTTCTTTATTTCTTAAATTAGGATTGATGCGATTTTAATAGCCGATATTTTGAAAGATATTCGAAAGCTAGAAAATTCGATGCTGAATCAAGATTAAAGAGCCAGTTTATTAAGTTTTCGCTACAAAAGTTATTCAAGTGAAACTCATGTACATATATTTCTAAAATTTTTGCATCTCTTAAAACAGTTATTCACTAATTCAAGATCCAAAATTCTCTTCCAAAATCTGTAATTCATATCTGCTTGTTTTTGCATCCAAGTTTAATTATTGAAGTTTTTGTGTCGAAGATGATAAATTCTAAAATTACTGTGTTCGATATTGGAATATTTTATGCTGAAGCAAATACAACAATGATTGTTGGTCTCCTTGCGATGGTTTTAAATCTTATTGTAGGCGTAGCATTTATTAAAGGCAAGCGACTGAATACTCCGGCTTCGTTATTTTTGGCTAACTTAACAGTAACTGATTTAGTTTGTGCATTATCGTTAATTCTTGATTCTATAACGAATTATATACTCTTGAAGATGCCTATGAACACCCAATACGTTGATTCGCTTTGCAAATTTAGTAACTTCCTATGCGGTCTATCCTATATTACTTTAAGTGCAAGTCTGTCGGGCCTTAGTACTGAAAGATATAATGTAATCGTACGTACTAAGAGTAAAGGCTTCCAAATTAGAACTGCAAAGATCATGGTTGGTTTAATTTGGATTTATGGAGCAGTTGTTGCTACTCCTCTTGTATTTGTTTTTGGAATCAATGTTATTATCGAAGATAAAGTTACAAATTACTCTAGATGCGTTTTATTACCAGAAAATTCTACGTTTAATACCATTTATTATTCAGCTGGTTTTATAGGGTTGTTTTTATTGCCATTTATGTCCATGCTTTATGCATATTACAAAATTGCTATGAGAATATATAGTAATAAGCGTCCTGGTGAATCTGCTATTCGTGTTATGACTACTCGTGAAAAAAGCAAGCGCCGCCAAATTATCATTTTATTCTTTATGAGTATGGCTTTTATGCTGTCATCTCTCCCTTACTTTGTATTATTACTAATCGTTCCAATATATAGCCTAGATGGCATTAATATATATCATGAAAGTCGAATTTTTTGGATTATGTACGTAACTGCTAAATTACTCTATACATGCTCTTGTTTGTATGATCCTATATTGTATAATTTTATTAGACTAAATTTCCGAAAGTCGTTTAAGGACACTTTCAATCCTTGCAGTCCAAAACCTAAGGCTCAAATTCATCCAACTGGCTCATCAAAAGTGGGTACAACGGAAATTGTTGGCTTTAAGTGATAATCATGATCAAAAATTATTAAATATATCTAGGAATTTGACTATCGCGTGGCTATGGGTAATGCTTGCATTATATTTTATTTAAAGCCTAATTTTAATATTCGTAGAAATAGGCCTTTAGAAAATATTTTATGGTTCAGTATATCCTTGGCGTCTTAGTAATATTATCTGAATCACGAAATATCTGCTATGACATAACGCTACCCTTAATTTGTATTTATACAGCAATAAAATTAGCTTTAAAACACAAATGGGATAAAAAATTAAAATTCTGTAATAAATATCATAATATTGCGGAAGGAATTTACTGTATACTAGACCTACCTCCTAGATCGATTGTTATCTAGTGCGATTAAAAATTTCATGTTATGGAATGCAAATGCCTGCAATAGCCATTTTTACAGCTCTTAAAATTTGCTTTCATTATTCATGATAAAGTATAATAAGTATAAGCATTGTTAAAATGCTACTCAGGAAGGAAATAGTTAGCCAATTTACGCCTCGTATGTGTTTTTTAATTCATGTCAAAACCTTTAATGTCTACATTTACCCAGAAAAATTTCATGAATTTAGAACGATATTGTTGTTACAAGGTACCTGTGTTATAATTTGCTAGTCAGCATTGCTTATGGAAGTAAAATAGATAAGAATTAGAAGTAGTTCGAATGGAACTGTGGCATTTTGTTCCTAATATATGCAGTAAATAATGTAATTGTAGTATTTCCTGATAATATATATGAAGTAAATCTGTATTTTGATGTACGAGCATATCAGCAAAAGCCAAAGGTAACATTTCTGTTACCATTTAGCTTCTACTTACGCATATTTAAAAGTCCATCTATTATATCACATGAGTTCGTAATTTATTAATTAATTACTTAAATTTCTAAATAAGGTATACTCGTATTACATATGTGTGTACGCTGTAAAATTTCGATCTTTATGCAGGTATCTATTTATGCTATTGAATGGCTGAGAATGACTAATAAGAAATGAATATTATCAATGTTGCTTTATGGTAATTGCCTTATTTACTTAATTTGGAAGTTAATTTATTTCAGATTATCCTTTTATGGTATGATAATTTAGATTACAATTAAATTTCAAATATCATATTGTCAGTGTAATCGTAAAACCCACAAAAATGACTAATTACTATTTTTAATTACTCTAGATTCCTTAATCATATTTCTATAAACTGCTTCGTACCATGTTCATGGTTCGTAATCGATTCTCGCTACAACATGCTACAACAAGTCTTACTTAACTGTATCAATAATTTTATTTTAATTGATATATCGCTCTACTGTAATTAGTCTCTAAGTAATGTATGCATTTAATTAATTAAAATTTCAGGTTTAGATTCACAAATAAATTATAGTAGTAATAACCTTTGATTCTTAAATTTCTGGCTGATTTTATCGTTATTACAGGATCAGTGGACAGTTTCCATTCGTTTTAATAGTAAGAATAAGATGATCAGAAATTCATCGTAATATTAATTTTTAAATTTCCTAACAGTTCTAAATAATTGTCTGTCTCATATTCAAATTATGTACCTTATTTTCTAGCGAGATTAAAATGTATCAATAAATCTTGATTTATTGACGTAATTGCAGCTCTAAAACTAATTCAGCTAGCAATGAAATTTTCAATGCATATAGACTGTTAACTTTGTTGGAAATATAGATCAGACAATGAACTGCAATTCTTGCTCGAAGACTTATTGGTTACATATAACCGTTATGGCATTGTAGCGCCTCGGCAGTAGATTTCTTCAGTGATTATTAGTAAAATAATTCTATAGATAGAAGTATTTGATACTGGTGAATAATATTGGAATTTGTATAGATATTTTACAGTCTTATGTATCGAGAAGAATTATCCGGTTTATCCTAGCCGATGGTCATTTCCAGCTTCGAATGATCTTCTGATAAAGAACTTACCATATTGTCACAAACCAGCTTCGTGACAAAAATAACGTAAAACAAATCTCTAAATTACTATAGTCTCCGGGATTCAGTATCCCTTTACTATCTCACAAGAATTTAGACGCCTTTGCTTCTACTTTAAACTCAACTAGACAATTGAGAACTACTTTATTCAACTATCTGACGGGCTTATATACCCTTCTACAGCAGCTAACATTCATGACTAATCTTATAAAAATACTTAGGTGAGAATATCTACTAAATAATTTTTCATATTCGGACTACAACATGTCCATTCACAGAATCATTTCAGTACACATTACAGCACAGCATTAAATTTACTGTAACACATTTATAATTAGAGTAATTCCTATTGTAAGTAACTAGTTGAAATATATTATCACTATAATATATTCACAAAATTTAGATAGCTATTTCTTCACGGTAGTTCGTACCGTGACACATATATAGAATGTAGTTTTATTTTGCATGGTTTTGTATGGAATTACGAAAGCTTAAAAATTGGCTAGTGTTACGAAAAACATCTTGATACCAGATCTTCGAATCAAAATATCATCTGAGACAGTTCAATGTGTATAATTATTAAGATTTTACTTACATGTTTTAGCTTAGGTAATACAATTCTAAGTCTGTAACATATCTAGCGATAAATTCCATCCTTTATTTGGCCTTCGATGATTATAATAAATAATTATAATCAACGAAATAAAAAATTTCTATCACTATAAAGAATTACAGTTTGCAGTTGTTATAATAATACGTTACTGTGACAATGTTATATGCTGAATAAGCGTAGAAATATCTATGTTAGGATAATTCTGTTAGCCTATCCTTATTTATTTAACTTCTAAAATCATCTACTTATAGGTGAAATCATTGTGATTATAACTTACTTGCGGTAGATTGTAAATTATCGTGGAAATGTTCCGTGATAGGGCATATCGTAATCTGACTATTCCGTATTAGTCATTAGACGTCTACGTTCATAAATGCTGTTATCTGCATTAAGGGAGCAGTAGCTAAAATTAATACCTAATTCAGTGAATGCTTCCTAAGTAAATCGTACTAACTATGACTAATGAACTATTGAGAAAGAGCATATAAATGAAGTATATCGTGTAATAAAGTGGATTCTTAAACAAAGCGTTTAACGTAAAATACGAGGCGTCTAAGTCTTCGTGTAGTCAGCTAGTAGAGCAAAAGTGTTTGTGATAGTGCAGATATCGTTCCTTGATACGTTGTTAAAGGAATTGACTTATTGATCGTACATTACATTATCTTGTTGCAAAGCTGTTTTGTGGCACTTACCTATAAAATAGCTAAATCTTAAGAAAGTATTTAATATGGTTAAAAATATAATAGTAGTGGTAGATTAGATACGTAATGTTTTAACTCGAATATTACTTATGATAGGCTAATGTATACTTGGTATTGATTGTTATTGTATGTATAGATTGTAGTAAGATAATTAAAATTCTTCCTCACAGTAATGAAACTAGACAGTGATCATTACTAGATCAAGATTATGTGTCAGAAATAACGTAAAAAATATTCATTTATAGATAAAGCATGATAGGGCTATTTCAGTTCGAGATGCTTTTCACAGCTAGGTATAATAATTAGTTGGACTAAAGTTGTTTTACTGCAAGATAGTTAATTCGTAAATTGGAATAATGTAAGTGAGGTAAGGTTGCAATGGTGTCTGTATTAGTAAAAGCTTTGTCTATAAATTACTTTGTTGCGTATTTTACGTTTAATGAATGATCACTTAGGTCAGTAGTTTTATTTATAGCTTTATTATATTTACCATTATTGCAAACTCAATTTTAGACAGTTGCTTTCTTGATCATGATTTATTTAAAGAATATCTTAACCTAAATTCAAACAAATTTGACGTATAGGATTAGAGATATACGAGTATTTCGATTTATAGCTATAGAATATCTTACAATGATGTCATGGTACGAACCACCGTGAAGAGCAAATGATCAAATTTAGTGTTTAACATTTATATATGGCGATAACTAATAATGACTTGCAGTAAGAACTACGGTAGTTATTATTTTGTTACAGTAAGTTATGCTGTGTTGCTGTAAGATTTCTCATAAGGCAACTAATATTAATTGATTATAGTGTTATGTCTTGTAACGCTTGTGATGAATATCCTGAAGATATTTAATTATAGATGACACTATAAATAATTCTGTGTAAGGGCGTACTGTAGTCTAATTAGCTAGAATCATTCAGTATTTGTCCATAATCATGTGTAATGAAATGAAAAGTGTAGAGATCAAGCTACAAAACTTTAACAAACTTTCATTCTACTTTCGTTGCACTCCGGTCGACTTAACGCTAATATTTTGACACCAAATAAAATTTTGGGAAATAACCAAACAACAACTTATTACAAAACAGAAATGAAGAAAAGTATAAACCGAACGACCTTACAAATACTTAGCTTTAAGTATTAATAAAATAAGTCACAGACTTAAAAACTGTCAACGACCAAACAACCTTTCAAAAACGAAAACGATTTAACTTGCGACAATTCGACCCCGAAGGCCTTTTAAATTCAACAAGTTCTTCAAATAAAATCTTCTTCTACTCTCTGTCTAAATTTTCTAATTTCACTATCATTTATAGGCTTCTTAGAGTCGTCAGAGGTATTTAAAACTAAACATTTGCTAACCAATCGCCCTTACGATCCGTTTTAGAAAACTACTCTGCACCATTTAAGAAAACAAAAATCATTCAAAGTTCAGACACAATTTACCCTACGATTCCCTTACAAAACACTATAAAACTAACAAGTTAACTATGAAAATACATCAAACTTCACTTCTAACTTAATTTCTATCATTAATACTCTATAAAAGTATAAAAATCAACCTTTAAACATCAAAATTTAGTCATAAAAACTACAGTTCAACTACTTAACAATCAACATAACCTCTGCCAATTTCCATCTTATTTTCTATTTTCCTAACTAACTTTCCTATTGTGACTTCAAGTCACGTCATAAAATTGCAAAGTTTCAAATTCATAACA